CCTATTTAAAAAAAAAAAATAAATTTGGTTTAATTATTAAAAACAAATAATATTAAAAATAATAAAAATAACTATTTATTTTTGAAAAACCTGTTGAAAATAATAAAAAAATAAAAAAAATTGTTAAAATTTATATTTTTTTTATAAAAGTCATAATCTTTTTATTTATAAAATTTAAGAAAAATAAATTAATAAACTAAAAAATTAATAAATAAAATTGTTGAATTTTATAAAAAAGAAAAAGATTTAGAAAAACAAAAATTTTTAAAAAATAAAAATATATAAAAATTTTAAATTAAAATAATAATAATAATAAAAATAAAATAAATATAATAATATTGAAATTTAAACTTTAAAAAAATTTTTTTTAATTTATTTTAACCATTTAAATCTTTTATCTATCTTTATTTATCTTCATATAAATTTTTAAATAATACAAAAAAATTATTTCCAATTTTTAAATATTTTCTTTTATAATATTTTTTATATTATGTTACAAAAAACATTAAAAAAAAAATCATTTGAAAATTTTTTTACAAAAAAGACAAATATCAATAATTAAATACAGTATATACCTTCAAAGATAACTGCCCACAAATATAATTTTACGAAATATTTTTTAGATTATTTCTGTTACAATTATTATATTTCTATTACAGTAAGTGAAAAATGACGTAATTAAAAACAAATACATTAATTAAAAATCATGCATCTAATTAACGATCCGAACTGCCATTACTGACAAATATAAATTAACCAATCATTCCTCAATATGAAATATAGCATTTTTTTTCAAACTCGAAATTATGACACAAGATACAGACGACATAATCGCTGCCACCAAACGCGCATTGTCAGCCCTTCACGAGAATACATCAGGGTTTTTTAAAAATTCGAGGATCAAGCGTGATGAAACCTCAGAACCAAAGTGCGCAATCTACTTTTCAAATTCTAATCCGAATAAAACTTTACTGTTTTCACTAATACATATTTTTTAGGGAACAACATATTAAACTAGCTCCAGAACAGGCTGGCAGTGATTCTGCTTCACCTCAGAAATTATATCGTCCACATAGCCGAGAGGATTTTATGGATCGACTTTCTACCTTTTCAATATCCTTAAAATTTACAACGTAATTCTTCCTATCAAACATTAGACGTGAACATGACCTTAACTTTCTACATACAACTTAACGTGGTCCGAAAAGCCCGATTGCCTCAGTCCAATAGAGTGTGCTAGATATGGCTGGACGAACATTGATTACGATTGGCTTAAGTGTGAATATTGTTCAGAACGAATGCTGGTAAAATTGGCGAATGGTGAATTAGGTAGGAAATAAATTATGAGTTGTCAGCTTAATTAAAGTCCATAGTTATTGATATGTTTCATCCTTTTCAAGAGGATCATTTGGCAAAACAATATCAGGAAGGGTTGGCCGAAGTGCATTCTGTCTCATGCCCGTGGCGTGGTCATCCGTGTGATGGTATTCATACAAATTTTTTCGTTTATCAGTGATGCATGCTATCATTAATGCAGATTCTAAATGATCATTATTCATAGCTGCAATATACAAGTTTTACATCCTGCCAAATCCGGTAATTTTGGAAGAATTCCAATCACGGGCGATAAACCTACTTGAACTTGGTGAAAAACTACCGATGATCAATACCAAAGTGGTAAATGTGAATATTTCTTTAACCTGTTTCTGGAGAAGACATCAAGTAATTGTTACATTTTTTTATTAGACCGATGAGTTTATGCAAACCATGAAAAAAGCGCTTCCTTTAGGATCAAATGAATTCAGTTCCCCGGTTATTGTTTCTGCCACTTGCCTTTCCTTATTTGGATGGGAACACGATTTGGTCGAGGGTTCAGACAAGCTAAAATGTAAGATGTGTTTCCGTCATTGTGAATTATCATATTTTAGAAGCATTGCAAAACACCGTGAACAACTACAGAATGTAGAAATGGGTGAGAAACACGTACAAAAAGATGGTGATGATCGAGTAAATGAAAATGATGATGATGACAAAGATTTAGCAGAAAAGTCAAACGATCAATCTACGCGAGAGAATGAAGACAGTGGAAATATAAATGAAGATAAAGATCTATCAGAAAAACAAGGTGTCGTTGGTGAAGAAACACGGCCATCACAGGAAGGTATGGAATTAGTAACTGACAATGAAGAAACCATTGATGAACAGACCATAGTAGAGACTGAAGGTGATCGAGACAGTAAAAATACTAATGAAGAAGTTTCACAATCACATGAGAGTACTGAAAGTGGCGAACAGGTTGTAGAAGAAACTAATGATGGTCGGGCTGACGAAAGTGTCGATGGTGAAACAGAAAAAACAAATGATCACGAAAAAATAGAACTTTCACAGAAGAATGTAGGCTCAAATGATGAGGATCATGAGATGGGTGAACAAAATACGGAGACTAAAGAGGATGATGCGTCCAATGAAAAATTCGATGATTCACCAGAGGAAATAGGAGATTTGACGTTTGAAGTTGAGTCACAACATCATTGGTATTGCTCGTGGATTACAGGTGACGGTAGATTCATAGAGAACAAAACATCCGAGGAATTTGCAAGGAAAAAACCAGGTTGGTACGTTACATTGGAGGGCATAGTGAGACTTACAATTTCTAACAACTCCAAAGATGTAAACCGTATTCGAGAGGTGTGTATCAGAGTTCTTTACATGACTCGCCATTGTTTAATCTCCTGATGTGCTCATTTATTTCGGTGTTATTTCCAGTCCAAAAACCAAATGAACGATTTCTGCGATATTTTGTCACCACGACGTTACTAACGTCACAATCCCAAAAAGGAAAGATCGTCGCACATTATCCTCATACATGTGGCTGCATGAATCGATTGGTTCCCAAAAACAAATTTGCAACCATATAAGTTTAGGGGGGTTTTATGTCATTCTTTTAGAGTTTCGTGAACGTTATCAAGTCGATGTAGTGTAGAGCATTTATTCTGCAGCGGAGTTTATAATAAAATTTATAAAAGTCATATATCAGTTCATAATATATAAGCCAAAATAGTTAAAGAAGTAACAAAGCTAGTTCTTCCTTGATATATTTTAAAAATGTCTTCTGATACGACTTCGAATGCTACACGATCGTCCATAGTAAACTCTCGTAATCCCGCTGGTTCTTGGAGAAACAACATTACCAGAAGTTCAGGTCTCAGTAACTCGGCATCATATTTTTCGAACCTAGGAAACTCGTTGGATGTAGACAGAGAGACAAATTCAGGGGACAACATAAAAGCAGCAAAACCATATCCGTTAGCAAACGAGTGGACTTTTTATCATGATAAGTGAGTTTAGAATGATTTAATCCTATAATCCGAGTGATACCAAAAAAAAATGTTATTAGTAGACTTTACAACATGGGGGCACTCTGGCAAATATAAAAATTCTAAATGTTATTGACCAATAATTCCTTATCCAAACATCACTATGGAAATGAAGATATGTCCCAAACGCCACTCCTGGTAAAAAAAAATAATAATAAAAAATTGCGATCATTTCAGGCACATGCACTTAAAAACATAGTCGATGTATATGAATTCCTTTTTTTCTTTTGCACAGAGGAATATGAAGAAAATCTAAAAAGCGTTGCAACAGTAACCACCGTACAGGTTTGTGATTCTCTCAGTATGTTATATTAAACCTTTCACAGCATTTTAACCTTGTCTATTTAAATTAGAATTTCTGGGAAGTTTATAACAATATCATAGGTCCGGAACAGTTACAATTAAGGAGTTCTCTCCATTTCATGAAAAATGGTATCCGTCCTGTGTGGTACGTCGTCATCGGTTGTATCCCACGATGAAATCTTAACTAACGTATTAAATTAAATCTATTCTAGGGAGGATCCACGTAATGAAAACGGGGGCGCTTGGTCTTTCAAAGTCAATAAGACAAACACCGCTATGGTATGGAGAGAATTACTTATGCTCCTAATTGGAGAACAATTTGAGGAGTACGTTTCTAAAGGTGATTGCGTTCTTGTATACTTTTTGTTGCAAGAAAATTGTTTACAAAGTGTTGACCCTCTTGAACAAATTTTATAGATGATGATGTCTTTGGTCTCTCAGTATCTTCAAGATACAACGCTGATATCTTCACCATCTGGAACAAGAATTCTAATGAACATGAAAAAGCTAAAGTCGTGGAAAAATTGAAGGAAATTCTGGATCCTATTGAATTGCAGAGTCCCTATTACAAAGGTGCGATGTTAACGATGGGAAATATATATATATATTTTTTCTCTCAATAACCTTCTCTCCTCTTGTTAACAGCTCACAAAGAGCATGCGGCATTCAAAAAGACCGATAACACATCATCGAGTATCAATGGCAGAGAGTAGTTGAAGATATCAATGATGTCATGGTGTTTGAAAAATGCTTTGGAAATTATTATTATATCTTTTTGCTAGTAGTTGTACATATTTTCATTATATTTATATTATTCGATCAGTAGTTTTTTCGAAATGTTTAATACTGTAGGGCCACCGAGAATAAATCTCGTGGCCTGACGTTTGCGCATTGCTGTCCCGCATTCATTAACAAGCATATGTATAACTTTAGTAAAATGTGTCAACTATTCGATGGTATTTTGTTTTGAAGTTTAATTATTGTTTCTTGGTACAAGCTGATTCACGCAAGAATCAAATCTGACCTAGGATCGCATTTAGTTGAGAGATCCCATAAAATATAATAAAAGTATTTTTAAACCGGAAAGTATCAATGAAACGTTAAACTGATTCTTTCGAAAACCCAATACCGTGTTTCTATATTGAATTATTTATTTATTATGATCTCATTTGGTTGAATCTTTCAAATAAGCAATAACATCGTTACGATCTTGTTCCTTCTTGAATCCGGCGAAAGCCATCTTAGTTCCGGGGATATATCTAAAAAATATATATATTTTGTTATGTTTATGATCGAAAGGTTGTTTTTAATTCGCTAATTGATACCATACTTTTTGGGATTCTCGAGATAATCAAATAAAGTTTGCTCGTTCCAGATTACACCCTTGTTTTGATTGGCGGCAGTGTACGAAAAACCAGCAACCTGACCAGATTTCCTGCCGAAAAGGCCGTGAAGATTTGGCCCTACTTTATTTGATCCTCCTGCCTCGACTGTATGGCATTGGGCGCAACGGGTTTTGAAGCTACGGAATAATATAATTATTATAAATCTTTTATGTCAGACCATCAAAAGAATCAATTAACTTACAGCTTTGCGCCGTTGACAGCATCGGCCTTTGCTATGCCAGAGAAGAAAGGTCAGTGCGTTAGTAAACAATTATAAAGTTTTTTCTTTTGATGTGCAATGAACTCACCCGCATCGAAAGGCATTTTTACGGAATGTAACAATGACGAAGGGACAACTTGAGAGGATGGTTTCTTTTGATATAATTGAAAATCGAAGAAGGAGGTTTTCTGCAAAAGATTTCGAGTCCGCCTATATATCTATTCACAGCCTTGCCTTTTTTGGAAACTGCTAGATGCAAAAATTGACTTATTTCCTGATCCGATGACATGATGCACAATGCTTTTGCCCGAGAATTCCCGAACTCATGTCAATTTGGTGAAATCACAGTAGATGATCTATAAAAAAAAATTATCTTTTGCATTTCACAAATAGATGAAAAGAGGATGACTTCCAAATCCGTACTAACAAATTCAAAACGTTTAGCTGCATATAAAGCGGTGGACAACCATTTGGATTCATCAACAAGAATTGTTGGCATCGGGTCAGGGTCAACTGTTGTTTTTGTCATCGAACGCATACTACAGCGTGGTGGCTTGAAAGAAGCTGAAAACGAAAAATTAAAAAAGTTAGATGTGAATAATTGTGTTTTTATACCAACAAGTTTTCAAAGTAGACAATTGATTGTCGACAATGGACTAAATTTAGGAGATGTTGACCAGTTAAGTTCAATAATCTCCTAATAAGCTAGTTCGTTAAATGCATTATTGGCCAAACTTTCTTGTATTGATATATTAGATACCCTGTTATTGATATCACAATTGATGGTGCGGATGAAGTAAGTGCGTTTATTCACACACATCTGTTTTAAATGGTTGGGCCTTTTGAAGAGAGTAAAAAATTCATAATTGTGTCCAATAAGGTTGATGACAATTTAAACGCAATTAAAGGAGGTGGTGCGTGCCATTTGCGCGAAAAGGTTGTAGCTGAAATATCAAAGAAATTTATTATTGTGGCTGATTATACAAAGGAATCTAAGGTCTTGGGAGAAAAGGTAATAATAATTATTATCAAAGAGGCTGCAGAAGAAGAGGTCATATTTGTTAAAATCACTCTTCAATTATTATTTTTTTTCTTCAAATAAAAAAGGGGAGTGATTTTTTCACCAAATGTGCACCATTACAGTCTTTCTTGATCATTTGCAAAAAATTTAACAAAGATTAAAAAAAATTTAATATGCACAGTGGACCCAAGGTGTTCCAATAGAGGTCATTCCATTCTGTTACACGTTGGTCTTATCCTCCCTAAAAAAACTTGGTTGTCCAAGTCCAAATCTCCGAATGGCGAAAGCTAAAGCTGGTCCAATCATCACAGATAATGGCAACTTTGTAATTGATGCACATTTCGGTCCCTTGGATGGGACTAAGTTATTTGATAATGGTAACAGAAATACACCTGGTGACATGATGAAACAAATTAAATTATTAACTGGGGTGGTGGAAGTGGGCTTATTTATTGATATGGCCGAAATTGTATACATTGGGTGCGAAGATGGAATTAACGTGAAACATATAAAAAAAGGCGAATAGTTAATCAGCCGGAGATTTGGTGATGAGGCACTTAAATTTGGAATTCTAATGGTCAACATCAACTTGCACATAAATATTCACCGTTCTCTTTGTCGATTTCTTAAACAACGTTGTACAAATTTTTTCCAGGGCCCAATATGAAATAAAGATTTACTAGATAATTCTTTTCTCAACTATGTTTATGTGTAAACGAAAAGCGTCAAATCTGATTAAAAACCTATAGAACTAGTAAAAAAATATTTATTTATTTATTCTGTATGAAAGAGATATAATAAACAATATAACAAAAATAGTTATTATATTAAATAAGAAAACTTTTATTAAATAAATTAAAATCTTATTAATTAGAAAGTAATATCAATTTAAAAATTTTGTAATTAAAAAATAACTTACATATTAAATTAAAAATAATATGCAAGAAATATTAATTAATAAACAGTTCAATAACCAAAAGTATATCTTTATAAAGAGAGAAAAAAAAAAATACAATTTCAAATCTGAACTATAGGATATAGATTTTTTTTAGAAAATTAAAATTTCAAATATATATATATATATATAATTCAAGATCTGAACTATATACGAATTGAAAATAATTTATTTAATACAATTCTACTTATCAATTATTTAAAAGTTCAAAATATAAACTTTGACTATAAATCAATATATAAATTTTATAAATAATTAGATACAATATATTTATTACATTAATTTAATTTTTTTTTTAACCTATTCGATTTTATTTTATTAAAATCTTAATATTTTATCAATAAAATTATTAGTTTATTTGTTTTGTTAAATTTTTATTATATACTGTATAATATATTGCAAAACTTTTTGAAATTTTTTATTATTCATTATTCAAAAACTATTGCATAGAAAATTAATAAAAATTATATCAAAATAAAGTTTAAAATCCAAAAATTTTATAAATATATAATAAAAATTATTGAATTGAGTTATATATAAAAATATAAAAAATAAATCAATACAAATACAAAATATTTAAATTTATTTATTTTCATTAAATTAATTAATACAATACTTGCAAAAGATTTTTTATAAATTGAAATTTATATTTTTTAAAAATTATTTTGTTATAATAACTTTTATACAATTATTGTTTAATATTTTTAATTTATTATTTAAAATATAATAATTAAAATTTAAAATAATAATCAAATTAATACAAATGCTAATTGAAGTTTAATAATTAATTTATAATAATTATATATTATTAACTACTTGTTTATTAATGTTTTAATGTTTCTATATTTAATTTTTAAATATTAATTAATTCATAAAATATATTTATCTCTTGAAAAAAATATTATTATTATTTAATATTTGTTAATTATATTAATTACAAATTGATAAGTATAATTGAAAAACTCTTTCCCACTCCCCCTTTTTACGCTTGAAAATTTTCTTTTTAGAAAATTTTTGAGTTGTTTACTTTTTTTTCATCTTTCTTTTTCCCTTCTCTTTATGTTCCTTCCTTATACCTTTTTATTTCCCTTCCCCTATCTTCTCCCCTCTCTTCTATATACTCTTTTCTTTTACTTTTACTCTCCCTTCCCTTTTCCCCTTTTTTTCTTGCCAAAGCTAGATTTTTTCCTTTTTCCTGAAGGTTTTCCTCCCTAGGCCTCTCTCTCTTTTGAAAACTCTGCCTCCATAACATCACTCCTCTGGCCAGTGGACCCTTTTCTCTCAGGAACCATATAAGAAGTGGCAAGGTTTTCACA